GATCTCTAGGACTGGAATTTGAGCACCAGGGGATTTCCAACAACCTCTTGAGGCAGGCAGGGCCAGTGACCCTGCTGTTTCTACAGCGGTGCTCAGTTAATCTCCGTGGAACAGTACCACAGAATGAAAGTCAGGTGCTGTTGGGGCAGCCTGCCAGTGAAGAGCTTTACGTATGTGGTTTATTGATTTGCAGAATTCATTGAGGTATTTCCACATTTCTTAGAACCAGGGCTTGACAATAAATCCTCATATAAACTGTGTCATTGGATAATCCAGGCAAAATGAGAGGCAGGGCCAGGGAACTGCTGGAGTACAGGAGCAGAGTTAGAATGAACAGAAATAGATTTATGGGAGGGAGAGGGGGAGCTCAAAGACAGGAATACTAGGGTAGAAGATGTTCTGGGATAAATTCCCACTTGTATTATTTGCACATGTCTATAATCTGCTCAAGCAGCTAGGCTCCAGGTTGTTTTGGGGTGGTTTTTTTTTTTTTCCAAACAATTGTGGATTACACTGTGAACAGTGTATTGTACCTCTATAATCTGAGCTTTGAGTTGGACTTCTGTAATATAAAAGGATTTATAGTTTCTCTGAAAATGTAGCCAAGTCTGTATTACCAGTATCCATGTGTTAGACATGCTTTTCTCCACCATTCCTCCCTCTTTATGTGTTACTCCATAACTGAGGGATGGAGCACAGTGGCACACAAACCAGTTTATACTAAGTAGAAGTTAAAAAAGGAACGGAAAATGTGAAAGCTAATAAGGAAATACAGTCACATGCCAATAAAGATAAAAAGATACATCTGAAAATAGTGTCACAGAAGCAGATAAATTTAAGTTGGAGATAAAGTCCTGATGGTATTATTTATGGGCAAGACTCTTTTGTTTTATCATGGAAAAATGCAAAAAAAGCAGTGATGAAGATCATGTATCCAGCAGGATACTGGTCTTTACCTTCCCTAAAAGACACATTAGATGTCTTAATATTCTGCAGTGTCCTTGGGAATGAGGGTCTCTTCTCATCCTCCAGAGGGAAAGCCATGAGCTATTTACCACAGAGCTTGGCACACAGTGGTCTCACAGCAAACCAGGGATTGTGAGGCTGAAGCAATGTTTAACCCAAGTTACTCCTATTTTAATAATTAGCCAATAGCACAGAGCATCAGTGCATGGCCTGGGAACCTGTGCATGGTGGCTGGTGGTGCCACCTTGGCCATACTGGGCTGATCCCCAAGCAGGAGGGACACCCCAGGGGGATTTGACAGGGTTGCTGTGAAGGATGCTCATGGCAACAGCTTTCCCACCAGGCACTCCAAGCCCTTTGTTATGGGCAAAGCCAGCCCCTGGGGACGTGGGGTGCAGGCCAGGTCCCATCTTTCTCCCAGTGGACCAGTCACAGACGAGCACCATTAGAAAACTGAAATCTTTTGTTAAGATTTTATTAGAATTTTAATTATTTTTAATTATTATTATTTTATTATTTTTTAATTAAGTTAAATGTCTTATGATTAAGGGGCCTTTGTGGCCCATGAGGTTTATAGAGCCTATGGGGTCTATGGTGCTGCTCATGTGCTTGCTGTGGGCCAGGAGATGATCTCCTCTTGTCAGCCTGAAAGGAGAGAGAGGGATTTGTAGAGGCTGCCTGGCTCCCACCAGCCAACACCTGCTGAGACAAGGATGCAAGAGATGATGGGGCTGCAGAGGTGGGGTGCACAGAGAGCCTCATCCTCCTGTTCCCTGCCATTCTTGGCTCTCACTGTCTCCTTTTCCTGCTTTTGGGGCTCCAGCCCATGGCAGGCCCAGCAGCTCAGCTGCCTGCACTGGCTGTGGTGCTGCCTGGCAGCAGGACACGACCAGGACAGGACTTGTGCCACCACGGCCTCTGTCCCTGGGCCCCCTTGTCCTAGCTGGGATGGCTGCCAGTGCTCCTCCAGTTCTGTGTGCAGGAATGCCATGATGCTCTGTCCCCACGGAGGGCTGAAGCCTGGCCCTGGCTGCCCTGAGGCTGCTGCTGGTCCATGTGCAGGGAAAAGAAGGAGCTGTGGGAGGTGTGGAATGGAGGTGGCAACCTTGTCACAGTGCCAGTGAGCCTGACCCTGTCCCTCAGCTGGAGCCTCCTCTTGCATATTCTGCTTTGGTGGCATGCAGTGTGCCACCTCTTTTCGGTACTCAGTCATTAAAAATGCACTGATTTTCAGGACTGACCTTCCAGTGTCTGTTATATGGGTCTGACCTTCCCATTCATCTCACCAGAAGAAAATTATGAAGTTGAGCACTTCCCAAATAAAATGGAAGATGGTTTTCTTTCTGTGAAATAGTACTGAGTGAGCCTTTCTGACCATATTTTCAGGCACCTAGCACCCTGCCTGTGCCATAGATGTGCCAGCTGACAGGGGAGCTGAGGCTGCAAGGTGAAAGCTTGGGGCAGAGGAGGGCAAGTTTGCTCCCCACGTGGAGGAGATTATTCTTCTCTTGATAAAACCATCTCATTTTCTCCCTGCTGGAGCAACATGCAATGAAGTCGTGTCAAAATAGTACACACAATACTGTGCTCTTGGATTGAATCCAAACTGTGAAGACCATCCTGTGAAAATTATTTTTATAGATTTTTTTCTTTTATATTTTTTACTTCCACACAACTATTCAAGTTAGTGAAGAAAGACTGGTGGAGATTGCTTATTTATCCCAGCAGCTGGCAGTGATGTGAGACTAATAATTTTCCCTATGATTTTACTAAACTTTGGATTAAATCCACTGATGTGCTGTCTTAACTAGGAAATACTCGGCTTTGTTCTGTTTTGCCTGATTCAGAACTGGGTGCTGAATGTGACTCTCATCCTCAGCAAAGGCAGAGACTTGCTCTCCAGCTGCGTGTGTATTTAAACGTGTATCTAAGTGAAGAGTTGTGGTCCTATCAGTTGAGTCTGTCTCCAGGCGTCCTCTGGAAGTCTCCTAAATTGGGTTGCTGATACCTCTCTGTTTTTCTGCCTTGAAAATGGTTTTGGAAAAGCTTTCCAAAATGAAATCCTGGTGCTGGGGATGCATTTTGTTGAAGTGCATATTTTTGATAGAATGAATAAAATTGGTTCAGAAGAGCGTTCCGACTCTGTGGTGCCTGCACCATCACAGGTTAGAACCAGTGGTTCTGCCCTTGAGAGTGGCACAAATGGAGTTATTTACATAGGGACCAGCTTTGGTGACCGCATTTTATAGAGCTCTCAGTAAGTTATTAAATCAGCAAGAAAGCAGCGCCGAGGCCCAGCAGCCAAAGAAGCTGTGTGCTCTGGTAAACCTCTCTATGTAAAATTTCTCTCTGAAAAGATTTCAGCACTCCACATGACCTCCACTAATACTTATTTTTAAGTGACACTGTGTCAGCTGCCTCAGCTCCACAGTGCCGGGGGCCGTTCTCAAGTCTGGACTGTTTTCCGGTCAGCATGCAGTGGCCTGATATGAACTGTTGACTTGTCCTGATGGTTTTTGTTGGCACAAACATAGCAATGAGCCAAATGCAATGGCAATGCGGCCATGCTTTCTGACAGCCCTTGGGTGTGTTTTCCAAGTGCTAAAGCCACTGACCTGGCTGAACTGAGATTTGAGAGTCCTTTCATGGATACTACAGAAAAATACCTCTTTTTAGTGATTTTTAAAAAAATATGTGTGCTCTAGTAGACAGCAGGATAGGAGGGTTTGAAGAGGAAGTGCAGGTGTGAACAGTTGGCTGGGATGTTGCCTGTATCACATAAGGGCAGAGGTGTTAACACCTTAAATGTGTTACACATAGCCTCTACTGTATATATATACACTCTATATATATTTATATAGATCTACTATTTAGTAATGTTTTCCTTTACACCACCGCGGATACACCTCAAAGTAGCAGAGTTTGGTAAACCACTACTTTTTCTAGTCTGCTGCCCTATAACTGAAGTGTTGAGCTCCCACTGAAACAACAGTCTCTCTGGTCATCAGAATACTGAATATTCACAGATGTCCTTTTCAACATTATAGCTGGTCCTGTAGTTACACCAGTTCCCACAAGAGCTCAAGGTCCTTTTCTTAATGCAATCCTCTACACTGACTGGCAAACTGAACAGAAAGGCTTTTTGCCTCCCTAAAAATACGCCAGACTCATAAAATGAGCGTAAGTGCTGTTAGGAGGTCACTGGTTGCCTGGTTCATTGGAAGCTGTTCCACACAGTGGAGCTGACAGGTGGTGTCCCATGCACTGTGCCGTTTTCAATCCAGCAAGGCTTAAATTATTTTATACTTGCACAGATTCTCAACTCTCTTTGTTTTAGAGCCTAAATGAACAATCTGCAGCATGTACTCTGCAGAAATGGCTGACTGCAGCTTATTAATTACATTGTCTGCCCAGGACAAGGCAGTGAAGGAGTGACTGACCTTCCGTATTGCATTGGACAACTTCAATATTAAGGGAACAGGAATATATACCAAATAAGCACATCAAGGCTGGCTGCACCATGGCTCCTGGAAGAACACACACTCCTTAGCATGAACGTTGCAGTCATTCTGCTGAAAATATACCTGTTCACATGCAAAAGACTGAAAAAGACCTTTCCCGTGCAAGTGCTGTCAGTGAAATGAATAAACACTGAAATGTAACCTGCCTGCCATACTTCTTTGGCCTGTGATGGACAGAAACTGTTGGGCTGGCTGATTAACAAGGAGAGCAAAATCCTTCTCTCCTACACAACTTAGAGGACCACAGGTATCTGACCCACAGCTATAGCCAAATTAAGGGTAACACTTCCAGTTTAGAGTATTCCTAAGAGGAAACATGCAGGTTAATTGTGCCTTGTTACTCTCCATTGCTGTTACTAGTAGAGCAAAGTCTTATTTTCTAGGGTTTCAAGTTCCAAAAGGAGACTAGAGTGAAGCCCATGAGAAGAGTTAGGCCTGAAGAGGAGTTCTGAGTTGCAGGTTGTCTATCTGGACATACGTTAACCTCTCGTGGTCTCTTTTTCTTTTCTGTAGGCAACATCTTTGTCGTCAGTTTGTCCGTCGCAGACCTTGTGGTTGCAGTTTATCCATACCCTCTGATCTTGAGTGCCATCTTCCATAATGGATGGACCATGGGAAATGTCCACTGCCAGATAAGCGGGTTCCTGATGGGCTTAAGTGTCATCGGGTCCATTTTCAACATCACGGCGATCGCAATCAACCGCTATTGCTACATCTGCCACAGCCTTCGGTACGATAAGCTCTTCAACCTGAAGAACACCTGCTGCTATCTCTGCCTGACCTGGATACTCACGGTGGTGGCCATTGTGCCAAACTTCTTTGTTGGTTCCTTGCAGTACGACCCCCGGATTTACTCCTGCACCTTTGCCCAGACGGTGAGTACGTCCTACACCATCACGGTGGTGGTGGTTCACTTCATCGTCCCGCTGTCCGTCGTGACGTTTTGCTACCTACGGATCTGGATTTTAGTGATTCAGGTCAAACACCGGGTGAGACAAGACTGCAAGCAGAAGCTCAGAGCAGCTGACATCCGGAACTTCTTGACTATGTTTGTGGTTTTTGTCCTTTTTGCTGTGTGCTGGGGACCATTAAACTTTATTGGCCTTGCTGTTTCCATTAATCCTTCAAAAGTGCAGCCACACATTCCAGAATGGCTTTTTGTCCTGAGCTATTTTATGGCCTATTTCAACAGCTGCCTCAATGCTGTGATCTATGGGCTTCTTAACCAGAATTTTAGGAAGGAGTACAAAAGGATATTGCTGACACTGTGGACTCCCAGGTTGCTGTTCATCGACGTGTCCAAGGGCGGGACAGAAGGGATGAAAAGCAAGCATTCTCCAGCCATAACAACCAACAACAACCACGCTGAAATACACTTATGAGTCAGGACATACTATTTATTCTGGATTACAATTGTATATATAGTATATAAGAGCCTTTCTAGCTGTGTGCATTGCACAGCTGGCATTGCTTGGCCCCTCATGCAAGGAAGGAGTCTGCTACCTTTCATGCTTGGCTTCCTGCTGCAGCATCAAGGCTTCGAGTGAGGAATGTCAGAATGGAAAGGACTGATTTTTTTTTCATGTGCCGTCTTTCACTGTGTGCCTCATTAATAGGTTTGGTTGCTTTTGCCACAAGCATGCCAATACCCCAAAAGGGAAGCGTTCGGAGTGCATGGAGAAATGCAGTTATGCTTGAAATGCAACCTTCAGGAGACAGCAAAATTGCCATTTATTACACGTAAACCTTTCTCCCCTCCCTCTGAATTCTATTTTTCTAGCATTAACTTAACCCATACTATATAAAATGAAGTTTAAACTGCATGGCTTTTTACCTTTTAGTTAGGTAAAGGCTGTATTAGCCAGCAGATGTACGTATGGGCCTGGCGACTTCCACTGTGTGTGCGTTCATTTCCCTTTTTCTTTCCTCTTAAGATTTAGAAGCAAGCCTGGACTGGATGTGAGGCAGGCAGAATCCAGACCAGTGAGTGTCTGATGCACTCATTTTAATTGAATATCTACAAATATTAAGTACCCTTGCACTCTCCTTCCCAGGCCATGAGTAAGAATATAACGTATGACATAATCTAATTGCAGGAAGATACTTGGAGCCTGATTCTAATTTAGGCAGTATCCTGTCATGGCCAGCATTCATTCCAAATGTTTCTTTCAAGTCACTGCTACATGAACATCATAAAAAAAGAAAAGAACATAGCAGAGTCCCATCTGTGTAATGCAGATGCTGGCTTTTAGGTTCCAGTACCATTTGCACTTGGAGGAAAAGGGAGAAGGGGAAGGCAATGTTCCAAAAATCCCTGCTTTTGCCCACCAAAGAACATGAATTTGCTATGGGGAGAAAAAGTGGACTTTTTTTTTAATTTTATTCATGTATAAAACTGTAATTAACGCATGGAGCTGGGAGACAAAAGCTACTTAAGCATAATTATGCATCAATTCTGTTAAAGCCTGAAGTGTGCTATCTGTATGATTGGAAACAATGTCCTGAAGTGCTGGGGAGTCCACTATCACGTTACTAACAAGCACATGGGCAAAGATAAGGCTATTTCTTTAATGGAGTGTGTGTGATGGCAGCTCTCTGTAAATATGATGACTTCTTTGTTTTCTTAGTTTCATTGTGAATTCATCTCTTTATGCTTTTAAATGTGTGGATCTTGCTTTGAAACTGTCCCATAAAATCAACAGGTAAAACTCCCCCTGGTGTAACTCTGCCTTCAGGCTAGCACACCTGACTTAGTGCAGGTGCACCGAGTGGCACAGTGGGGAGAGGAGCAGGTCTGAGCCCCCGGCGAGGACAGCAGGCAGCCCTGCCCCTGGTTGAAGACAGTGGTCTTTTCTCTTTGGTTCTAGTCAAAGCAGGACTAGTTCCCGGGGCTGAACCCTGAAACACTTGAGACCAGACTCTGCAGTATCATGTAGGCACCTGGAGATGGAGGCACGTAGGATTTTCCAAACCCCTGGCTGGGCTGTGTGCCTAATCCATAGTGAAGATAGCGAGCCATTTGTGCGTTGCTTGCTTAAAGCAACTTGCTGCTGAATGTTCTGCTGATTTTTGGGGGGAAGAGGAGTTGAGAGAAGTTAAGCCCCTTCATTAAGTGGGCCAAGAAACTCTACATGAGTTCTGCAGCGTGCCTGCTGCCATGTGGGGTCTCTGCAGTACCAAGGGGGGTCCCTGCATTTGTAGAGCGCCCTGGCACTTTATGAAGTTTCAAACTTGAACATCTCAGCCACTTCAGATGATTGTTGTTTTAAAATGCACTGCAGCCAGCCTCCCATAATAGGAATCAAACAGAGTTCTGTTTTGGTCTCTTAATATGCCTGAGCATGGCCAAATAAAGGTATTTTGACCCTCAGAAAAAACGTGGTCTGTTCGCCTTCCAGAAAAACCACCCTGGGTGAATTCACACCATTCCATGCAAACAAAATCATTTGGAGTTAAACTAGGATAAGAAAAGCACTGAGGAATCCATAACTGCAGGGAGTGTTTGTCCCGTTTCGCCAGGGAGATGTCCTGTGTTCCATGACTAGTCTTCAAAGTCATTTGCAATTAGCCACAACAGTGTTAGTTAGACTCACATTAGCAAATAATTTGAGGCATCTAGCGCCAAGGGAAACGTACTCCTTTAAGACAATCATGAAGAATCTTGTGCATGTTTGCCAAATATCTCAGATACCCTAAAACTGGGGTTTCATCTTTATGGATCCTTGTCTTTTTAACTGAATGTTCAGTGAAGGCAATGTGGTTTGTTTTTTTTTTTTTTTATTTAAGCTTGTATTTGCACTATTTCTTATTCAGGCTCCGAAGTAACAGCCAGCAAGTATTTGAACCAAACCAAGTCCAAAGAGGTCCCAAACAGGCAAGCTGTGAGAGTCCCTGCTACACCTGGTAGGAAGGGGAGCAGCAGGAGGGTGGTAGGTCATCTCTCCAGGACTCACAGAGAGTCACTGAACCAAACTATGCAAAATGGTAGTGGAATCTGCTCATCTTCTGCTGTTGGGTCTGAGCCCAACTCCTGCCCAGGTCTCCACAGGGCACAGGCTCAGTCCCTGCTGTGCTGGGGTGGATCTGAGCAGCTCCCTGAACGTGCAGGCCCTGCTACCACTGCAGGGTGGGGATGAGTCTGTGATGGGCACTGTCCATCTGACAGCACAAAGAGCCCTGGCATGACCTGTTCAGAAGGGCTCTGGGTGGCCCAGTAAAGGTGCCCAGAGCCGGGCTGATGCAACCACCATGGTTGGAGTCCTGAGCTCAGTCTTGCTGGAGCTGAGGTTTGCAATATGAACCATGAAAAGCAGGGAACATGGCCTCGAACACTGTGCCATTTGCTAGCACTTTGATAGAGGCAGCACTTAGGATAGGATAGAGTTTTATATTGACTTATTTAAAAACTACCCAAGCAGCTCCTTATTTTTATGTTAAGAAATGGTTAACAGGGTACAGAGAATTTATTTTTGTTAACAGTTGTTTACAGAAAAAGGGAAGTGTGTTATAACAGGGAATCCTGAGCAGTGTCACAGTTTACCTGTGGGAATCTAGCTTTAATCCAAATTTGAGATTTCAAGGGGATCCCACCGCTTAAATCATGCTCTGACAATTCCACCTGCTGCATACCTGGCCTTAACTCTCTCTGAGATCTCACATAAAGTGATTTCAAATCACTTGCTCTAGATTTGACCTGGTGGTGTTGAATACCTATTCTAGCCCCAAACTCTAAGATTGTTGTAGTGGAAACTTGTGGAGAGTCAGTAGTGCTGTGAAAGAAGATGATTCTCTTGCCATGAAGAAATATTTTTGGATATTGCTAATGAATGTTGTTTAATCTATTTAAGAAGAATGTAACCAATATATTTATATATAAATGTGTATTGCATATGCTGTTTCCATTTTATTGTTTAATTAAGAATCATTCAGTATACTTTCCTATTGCTATTTTTGTTGATAAAGTAGATTCATTCCCTTTACTTGTTAAAACTGTAATAAATCTGCCATTGGACTGCTTATTGATATTTCTTTTCCACTTGCAGTTATTTTTTAATAAATATTTGGAACAACAGCTTGGGTTTTGTTGACTCCCACAAAGCAGATTGAATTGACAAATGAGTTCAGATATAACTCAGCTGTCCAGCTTAGACCTGGAAGTGAATGACCCAGAACATCTGAGACACATCCTTGGATTCACGTGTTTTCTTCCACCTGCTGTGAGCCAGCTGCCTGCTGCACCCTGGCCTTCCTCATCAGGGAAGAAACTTTCTCTGTGCTGCTGTTGGTCTCCTCGCTGTGTGTCCCTCCAAGGCCCTTTGCCTTTCTTGTGCCCATGTGTATCCACCGGGTGCTGTGGAAGCAGAGTTTGTCACAGCCATTTCCTTGCCCTTTCCTGGGAAGGAAAGCATGGCCAAGCTGTGAACAGGAGGGTGTGAGAGCCAGGGTGGTCACAAGCTGGGGCACAAGGTGGCATTGGGTTGTAGGCAAGGGGTGGAGACAGGGAGTCACCCTGGGCTGGAGGCACAGTGAGGGCTGACACGCACTTTCTCCATTCAGGAGCTTTGTGAGCATGAAGACTGCTGTATCCAAGATGTTCTATCTGTGTTCTTTCCCCACCTCTGTTTTTGGGCAGATTTTGCTGTATTCATGCAGTTCTTCAGCCAACAGGTTCTGTCCATAGGCTACACCAATTATATTTCCATGCTGACTTGACTGGAGCTGGTTTTTGGGGAGTCTCAGCGCTGCTTCCGAAGCGGGGAAGATGGGAGAATGGAGTCATCCAGTTGTAACTGCAACCTGAGCTCCTGTTTCCTAACCAGATGTCACATGTAACTGTGGTGTTAGGGTAGTAAAGGCTGAGATTATCTACTAAAGAGTTGCTGAAAAACCATGGAGCAGACGTGTTGAATGAACAGGCAGTGTTCATTCAGTGACATCCCAGAGCAGTACTGCTACTTTTTTTGCTAATCTTTTCCAACAGGCACTGGACTTCACCTGCTGCTTCCACAGTAAAGCCTGCAATGCTCGGTGATGGGACACACTGTTAATTATAGTTGCAGATGCCAAAATGTCTGTCTGAGCAGAGCTGCTAGAAAACCCTTGCACAGACTTGTACCTGCTGTTTCTGCCACATGGAACCGAATGAATCAAACTGTCAGAAGCGAGGCAGTGTTATTTATTTACTTACTTGCCACAAAGTAATAGTAACAGGGAGATAAGATAGAGCTATAAAAGGCAAGAGGTGTGATAATTCAATACCAGGATAAAGTCTCACTCATGGTGACTATTTGGAAGTCAATATTTGTTCTAATGTATTTCCTTCCAAGCTTATAATTTATAACATGAAGTCACTCAATAAAGAGCTACTGCATATGTATTTAGAATTTTATTGGAAAAATGTAAATTACTGGACCTAATGCAGTATTTCTTAGCATAAAAACCCTGAGATAAGAAATGCAGAATGGGTTCTTGCAAGAACTCTGTGATGGGATATGCAAATTTTTTTTGCTGGTGATAAGAACCATAACATTTGTATCTCTCATGAACTACAGTTGTGAAGGGAAGCTGCATAATATTGTTAACTGAATTTTCACTTTGTAATGCTTGTTTATAGTATCCATTATTCATGTACTATAAGTAATGCACTGTACAGCAGAGATAGAATTTAGAGTCCGTGGTCAGTTTCCAGAGCAACCAGGTGGGTCTGAACCATTAACTGAAATATGTTTCTATGTTTTCTGCCAAGCATGGTCTCCTGATAAGGTTTTTAGCTCAACTGATTGCTTCTAAGAGGTCAGGGAAACTTTAATGTCTTTTAGATTAGTTGCAATGTCTGTGCAGTCACAGCTTGCTTAGATTACCTTTTAAATAGACTTGAGTCATCAAACCATTTTATAAGTCTGTCCAGTTGGAGCACATAATTTATTTTGTATCTAGATATTTTATCACAGCACATTTAATAAACTGTTATGTTTTTCCTTCTACATTGTACTCCTTCTGTGTGCAAAATTTTTGAATTTCCCTATAAATAAGATGCAAAATTTTTTCCTCAACTGTAAGCAGGTTGCTTTGCCTGGAGGTAGGTTTCCACTGGTTTTGATAACTGTGTAGGATAGAGATACTAATGTGACATCAAAATACAACCATCTCCTGGGTGAAAAGTGACAGCTGTTTTGCAATCAAAAAAAAAAAAAAAATAGGCATGGAAAAAAGTCCAAAATAGTTTGCAGGAAGTAATTTAAATAGACATTTCTGGTTGAAGTAAGAGAGGAATATTTGGAGGGATTGTACATACTCAAACTGGGACCTGGCCAGGACAATGAAGTTAATGAACCCCTTAATATAAAAAATGGGATTTTTATGACACAGGGACACACAGCTGGCACAAAGCCAGATGTCTGGCTGCAGGATCCCCTGTGACATGAGCAGAGAAACAGGAAATACAGTAAGGACAACTAAAGAAACCTAGAGAAGACCAGAGCATACTTCTGAAAATATTAGATGCGCGCACGCACTGGTAGTTAATATAAAAGTTTAGCAAGATTTTCCTTTTTGGTCTGCTTTCTCTTTCCCTCCCCAGCTGCAATTTAGTTGTAAATAAAATGAAGGACCATTTTGTTTTGGTTTGGTGTTGGCTTTTGAGAGCCTCGAGCACAGCTGGGCGAGGCAGGCCTGGGATGGGGCTGATGGGCTGATGAGCTACCCCTGAGCAAGGGGTGTCACACCCACCTCCATGGGCTTAAATCCCCCTGGGGAGGGGATGTGTTTTCCTGGACAATGTATGGCAAGAAAAGGTTGAAGTTGCTGTGCTGTGGCTGCCAGAGGGGTCCTGGGGGCATTACAGGGCTCCAGCATCCAGTGAAACCAGGACCATGTCCAGCTGCAAGGGGGACTGGTGAGACTAAACCATGAGAGATGCCTCGCTGAGGTAGGAGGGGCCTGTTCTACCCCGACAGTGGGGGTGCTGAGAGAGTGAGGCTTGCTTCCTTGGCACAGTGTTCTTTTTGTGGGGAAGTCAAAAGATGTTCTGGAAAGCAGATGTCTCCTGTGGAAAAGCAGAGGTGCTCTATCCTGGAAGCTTTTTTACCTGCTGATGGTGGTGCAGGAATTAAGGTGACAACAAAGGGCTTCTTTGAAATGCAGAACCTGTCCCTGTTGTTGCCCTACACTGGTAGTGCTGCTGCACAGCCCACTCCTGCCCCACAGTACCTGTCCCTGCAGAGCTGCTGTGTTTGTGATGGAGCTGGTGACACTGAGCCCCAGTGCACCCAGCCCAGCCTGGGGTGTGTGAGAAATGAGAAAATGTAGGCAATGAGGCAGGCTAAACCCTCTTTGGGTTAGTCATAACCACGCTGGTATGAAAGCAGCCCTTGTCTGCAAACCTTGAGGGCAATTGCTTCCACATGAGACTCTCTCCTGATATGTCCTATACCAGAAATTTCTCTCCTTCCCTCCTGCTCAGGACTCACCCCTTGCCTGCAGGCCAGCATTGAAACAGAGGAATAGAGAGGTGAAGGAAAAGAGCTGCACTTAAACCTGAAGCCCTATGGATTCTAGAGTAGATCTTATACTACTTTCCTCATTGTATAGAAATGTATATGTGTGTGTGTGTGTATTTATATTTACACGTCCTGGGTTTTCCTAAAGCAATCAAGACCAGTCATATCTTACAAAGTATTGACTGTATAAAAGTTCTGGTTTTTTTCTCCTGGGTACTTCAGAGCAGATGGAAAATGCGGCAGGTGCTGCTAATGTTTTTCTACCCTTAGGAAGACTTGTCACAGTTACCTGTTTATCTTATTTTGACATTTTATTGCCCGAAATTGCTCTGTAACATAAAAGCACATGCAGGGCGGTTAGAGGTGAAATCTTACAGATTCACTTGAAGAACTGAAAATCAATAAGCTACAAGCAAGTAAAAAAAATAGCTTTTTCTGTGCATGTGGAGGAAGGTTGGTATTTTTATTTTTGCTGAGGAAATACCATGGAATCACAGAATTATTTGGGTTGGAAGGGACCACAAATGTTCATATAGGCCCAACCTCCCTGCCATGGGCAGACACACATTCCACTAGACCATATTGCTCAGAGCCCCATCCAACCTGGCTTTGAACCCTCTTGGGGATGGGGCCATCACAGCTTCTCTGGGAAATCTATGCCAGTGACTCACCACTCTCACAGGGAACAACTTCTTCCTTATATCTAATCTAAACCAGCCCTCGATCAGATTGAAGCCATTACTCCTAGTCCTGTCATTCTATGCCCTTGTAAAAATCTCTCTCCAGCTCTCTTGTAGCCCCTTCAGGTACTGGAAGGTGCTGAAAGGTCTCCCTGGAGACCATGTATTCTCATCAGGGAATCCAGGGGTTTGCATTTTGTGTATTAGTGACTGGAAAGTGTAAAATGAGCTTCGCTTTAGCTGCCATGCATGTGCTTTTTCCTTTGCTTTTTCAGTAGGTGATGGAAGCCTCTGTTTATTTTTACCATGTTCTCAGGACTGCACAGAAGAAGAATTAAAAGACTGGTAATACAGACATTGAAGGGTTTTTGTGCCCAGCATGTTTAAAAAGTGAAGTTTATAGAAGATGAAAAGCAAGGCCAGTCCTGCTGGCTGGTCTGCATGAGTCCTGCTCTGCAGCAGTGCCTTTGTAAGAGCTCAAAACTGGGGATGCTTCTCCCCTGCTGATCCCATCTGAGGAGTGGAGAGATTTGGCCAGGCTTTATTCCAAGAAGGAAATAAAGAGTTTGTTTGTAACTGGGGGTCCTTGGGCTGACAGACTGTTGTTTCGGATGCCAGACCTTTCCCTTGCTTTCTTCTCTGATGCTGAAATTTTGAAAAACAATGAATAGTTTTTACTTTTCCCACCCTAATAGGCGGCATCTTGCAAGTGCTTGTAGCTGGTTGCTCGCCTTGGAGTGCGTTCCTGGGTGGTGTTGTTTGAGGAATTGCTGTTACATATAAGTGACCTCTTCGCAGGAGCACTGAGCTGGGTTGGAACAGCCCAGCTGGTGATAATAGCTGGGGTGGTAATTGCACAATCTCTCCATCTTGGTGCTTTGTGGAGTATGGTAATCAGGCCTTTGGGTAAGTAACAAATTGCACCTCCTGAACTGCACTGTCCCCAGGGGCTGCAGCAGAGAGTACTTATTACAGCCTGGGATGGATGTGGAATGGCCACCTTGTAGCAATTTCTGTAGGTCTTCTCAATTCTGAATTTGCTGGTAACTCAGACTTCTTACTGTGCAGTCACATCTGAAATTCACTTTTGAGCCTTTGAAGTAAAATGAATCCTGAACAACTAACTGAATTCAGAGCTTTCAGATGAGAGTTATGTCTTAGTATTTAACAGAAATTAATATTAGCCATTAAACCTCTCAGCTGCTAATTAAATGGACTATTTCTATGTTATGTGTAAATCCATCCATATCTTCACATTGCAGGCAAATAGAATTTCATTAAGGCACTTGAGTAACTGTGAAGGGACAGCAGCAGCATTTTGGGGTATTTTGGTTCTAGTGAATTATGTCACTGTCTTGTACGGATTACTAAATACTTTAATGATATGTCTTGTAGAATTTATTTTTTGTTCTGGCAGGGCCATTAGGATGATAAATGGCTTGTCAAGGAAGAGTAAGTTACAGCTGAGCTCGGAGGAGGTGCTTGAATCTTTAAATCCATAGTTGCTCTAAGTTATTAAAAGGGTGTGTAAAAAGAGCTAGATAACTTTGTATACAAGTCTATTTGTCAGACTTTCTGCGTATCAAACACTGATTTAAGCTGTGTTCCTTTATATGATTAATGTGGAAAGGCTCCCTTTCCCCAGCCTCTGTTCTCATAGCTTTTTGGTTAGCAGCTGGTATTGACTTGGTTTTCTAGATTTTGCATCAGCTTGAAGAGTGGGTGCTACCTAGTGGCTGAAGCAGAGGACTGAGTAGAGGTGACAAGTCAGGACATCTTGCTTCTGTTCTTGCCTCTTTCTGCTTGTTTTGTGACCTTGAAATGTAGCTTGGTTTACCTTTGGTTCAGAGGTATGGTTAATTACACTGCAAAGCACTGAGGATGAGACAATTACGTTATCTAAGGGAATTGCATAATGATTAAGCCTTAATTTGCTATGTGGTTTCTTTCTTTCTCATTACCTCTGCTGAAGCAGGAGCTTTGAAATGAAAATCTAAGGTGAACATACTTTTAAAAAGTGTAGAGGACTAAACGAGTCACCTGTGACAAGGGTTTGCATAGCCTTTTGTTTTATATTGGCCTGGGTCTTGTGTCCTGGGTAACAGGTTATCACATTGCTGCAGAGCCCTGGTACTTTATTTTTTTTTTTAACTGATGTGCCGCTGTGTGGGAGCTGATGTGGGGGGAGGGAAGAAAAAAGCCCACAAAACCCAAATACCACGTGGCAGAAAAACACTGACGACAAAGAAGCACAGCCATCTGAGTTTTGATCTGGTCTTCTAGCTCATGATCCCCCCACCACCCCAAACGTGATGTGTGAAAGGCAGGAATATGTGCTCTTTGCTATTGATGCTTCTTGTGCAGGTTGGATGTGGGTTTACTTGTAAGGATAATAACTTGTCAGTGGGGGAAGTTATCTAAGCAGGACACTTGGATGTCAAACACTGGCCAGAAACATTCCCAGGTACCAAAATGGAGTTGTGATCTGCTCAGCCTTGAAAGGGGTGGGATCTTTTTTTTTCTGTAGCAGAGCAAGTGTTGTGGGAACAGAGCAGTGGAGGAAAAACCAGATCTGCAGGCCATGTTTGATTTGATTAAATGTGTAATTATCAGTAACACATTAGAGTCCAGTCAAGCCAATTCATCATTTCCCTCGTGGTATTTATTGAGTTGTTTTAATGCAGACATAAGACTGATTTTATTTTGGTTTATTTGGTGTTCATACTAATGTGTACTGTCTAATTCTACTGTATGCAGGGGTTG